CCGATCTGCGCAGGCGCTTCGATGGTATCTGGGGCCCTTCTTTCAGAGTCGAAGGAAACTGATTCTCCTATGAGAAGTGTTGCCTAGCTGGCCAATCCACAGGGCATTCAAGGCACAGGAGATGGTACGAAGTCGTACATAGGACTCGCCATCGGTTTCGTTGCTTTATGAACATCCGAGGACGTTCAGACGGGAGCAAGGCGCACAAGAAACATTGGAAAGGTTCCAGTCAGCCGAAACTCGAGGAAAGAAGCTGACGGGCCACAAAGGGGAAATCGGAATAAAGAGAACAAGACAGAGTGGAAGAGTGGTTTGCCTTGCAAATCAATCGCATCACACCCTCCCACCAACAACTACAGATACGAACGGCAATTCCTACGTGAAAAGGGTGCACCGCGCAGCTAAGCTGATAAAGAGGCTCACTATCCGTTCACGGGAGACGTCCGTGGCTATAGTTGTCGGTGGAAAACTCGGTATAGCGGCGATGGTAAGATAAAGATGACAGGGGTCATCGGCAGGAAGGATGAAGGCGGGATGCATGGAGAGAGGAGTGACGCTAGGGGCAGAAGTGTCAGGTGGCATCGATTAGTCGTGGTGTGAAAGCCAGGGTCTGGAGGGGGGAAATGACGGATTATATCCGTCAGGAATGATGTTAGCAGATAGAGACGACAAAATAGAGTTGCCACGTACCATCATCTCAATGCCCACTCCCCGCATTTAATTCTTCGATTCCGTTACTCTTGCAATTCAGCTGGACACACCCGCGACAAGCGCTGTATGAAGACAGCTCCAGCATTCAGGGCGACATGCCAGGGCAGTTTCGAGGTTCCATCACCCTCCTACTCACAGACGAATCAGTCTCAGATACATGAGCGATGGGATAGTGGGCATATGCCGGTGAGTCCACAGACTACATCGCCCGTAAGCCATGGCTATCCCGGATTCATCTCGCCTTTGACACCAACGCCTACAATCCAGTCACCGTTGGAGGTTATCCCTCACCTCTTGTCGAGAATTGGGCCTAACACGGACGTGAGGATTGAAGATTCCTTCAACGTTGGTGACCTCCCCCCGCCGTCCGTAAGAGTGAGTCGTTTCCCCTTCGGACCTCAACAAATAACTTACTTATAAATCAGAGAAAAATCAGCGCGAGATCGACTGTACCTGAGGTGGACGTTCATCTCAGCACGAGTTCTGCTGGTGGGCTGTGAGCACAGGACGATGTCGAGGGGCATGAATTTCAAAAGACTATTACTTCTGTGTGTATGGTTTTATTAGGAATATCGCATACTGTACTTGTAATTTATTTACTCACCGCCTACGCGAGGCAGGATTGCTGCAGTGCAGGGGGCCCGTCCGACGTCTAGGGCGGTGCAAGGGAGGAAACTTCATTCTGATTCCGTGCTTCCTTTTATGGACGTCACTTCGCGCGTGACTCCAGATTTGAACCAAATAGCACACCTGCACTGCATCGCGGTTCTACAGCACCCACCATCTGCGTTCCGAAGGCATCGCTTCACAGTGCACAAAGAAGCCATTGTACCTACTAGACGCGATTTCTCTATAAGATCTTAGTTTTCGCGTCCGTTTCTTCCTTTCAATTCTCCCCCTCGATGGGCTCGTCGAACAACCCGAATGGTAACAAGCACACCGCCGGCGCCTGGACGCCACTTGATATCGGAAAGCCTTCCACCGTCGACTACGTGATCGAGGGATCTACAATCGTGCTTAATGCACTCAAGAATGCAGGCTCAGTGACCGGTGTTCCGTTCTTGAGCGAGGCAGCCGGTACAGCGGTGAGGATCTTGACGATGGCTCAGGTTAGTGTCGGTCTACTTTTGGGCGCCACAGTTGATGAACGAAGATATCTAGGACGTTCGAGGAAATCAGGACGCATTCATTGAACTAGGAAGAGACGCATGTGGTCTTGTCTACGCT